TGCAGCCTTTAGATACGAGGGCGGGCAACAAAAACCCCCTCCCCCGGCGCAGTGCGACAGACGCTACAGACGGCGGACAGACGATGATGATCTCACCTGTCAGACCGCGTAAGGAAAGAGGCCCCAACAAGAAAGGCGACGTGCTGACACGTGGCTAGGCGGCTTGGCAGACCGCCAGTTGGGCGCTTGGCCGCTAAGCGGCGCGCAGTGACGGGGCACCCCCCGCCCCCACGCCCTGACACCGTGGACGCGGAGCCACGCGTACACACGGGCAGGCAGAAAGGAGGAGATTAGCGCGGGGCACCAGGTGGAGCGCCGCGGAACGATGACAGCATAGCTTGGATGGTGAGTGACGGCACGGCACCATCGGGCGAGGCCGTGAGCAGCTCGGCAAAGGCTCGCCCAGCGCTGTGAAGGCGCTGGAGTAGAGGGCCTTGGCGAGCTTGGGCGGCGGCGAGGTCCGCGGCGAGAGCAACGCACCTCTGCTGGAGAGCAGCCATAGCCTGGGACAGCTCGGTTTCGCGGTCGGTGAGGGGTGGCTGCTCAGTGCCAGCGGCCGAGAGCCTCGAGACAGAGGCGAGGTCCTCGGTACGCCTGTCCAAATGGTGGACTAGCGTAGTGCGGCACCCTGTACGCTGTCGTCCGTCACCCTTGAAGGGTGACTGGAGGGGCACACGCGACCCCAGGGCTGGAGCCGCTAGGGCCACGCCCCGAGAGGTCGGGAGAGCCGCTTCCTCTCGCTCAGCAACGATGGAAGCGTGGACGGGGCACGAGGGCCTGTCTGGTTTAGTGCCCTGCGGGGGGGCTGAAGCCGCCCCCGCGGGCTGCCGCCGGTGGGGGGGCGGAGTGGTTTGCGCGGTGGGACCAATCATGATGCCGTGCAAGGGCTCTGAGGTCGGTCGCGTAGAAGGTTGGCGTCTCGGTAGGGCGGCATGGTCGGCAGCGTGGGGTATCGGCGGTGCGTCCTCTATGCCACTCAGTCCGCGGGGGTCACCCAGGTCGTGGTCGGCGTCTTGGCGGTGGCCGATATCATCGTATGTGGGCGATGTCGCTCTCGGGGACGGAGTCGCAGTAGGGATCGAGAGG